AAAGACCAACCCGAAGGCTCTTGAAGCCTTGGTAGAACCCTGAGCACTAGCCAGAGTCTCTACAGCAAGCTTAACAGAAGCCGTAAACATACAACTAAGCGGAAATCCAGATTAAGCCTGCTAAGAACTCAAACAGTAGCTTGTGCAATTAAGTTGACTTGCGGTGTCCTTAGGGTTTTCTTCTATAACTCTGTTTGGGCTGCTGTTTGTGCTGCTGTGGCCTGATGAGGTCGGTTGCAAGTACTTATGCACTCAAGGAACTCAACAACAGACGCTCCAATAAGAAACGCAAAAAATTGCCCATGCCCAAAATTCCAAAGAGTCGTTGGACTTGTAATTCCAAAGTCCGTTTGACTGAACGACCCATTCGAGGAAGATGGCGAAGCATATGCAACCCCCTACGAGTAAACAACACTGCACCTCCATGGTATACGCGCGTAGCTAGTCGAAGGTACGCAGCAAAATGCAGGATGACCAGACTCACAAAACGGTGGAACTCACAAAGCGGGGCCCAATTCTTGGGAACCCCACACAGGTGTGATGGATGGCCAGCCAAGCTGTAATGCTCATGGAAACGGAATTCCCAAAGGAGTACGATTCGAATGCCCTGTATTGTGGATGAGGCGATGGCAGTGCAGCTCCGTAAGACTCAGACAGAAGCATGTGAGAGAAAGGGGCCTGAAAGCCTGCGTGCAGCGGCGCCCAGCGGTGGCAGCGACGCCACGCCAGGCCTGAGCAACATCCTTGCTGTTAGCACTAGATGGATGGCCGCGGTGAGGGGAAGTAGAAGTAGAAGCAGCAGTAGAAGTTGCAGCAGCTGTAACAATACCATCATAGCAGGCCCAGCCTGGCACTTAGTTAGATAGGGAAAAAGCTTGGACCAGCCGCCACATACCTTGCCTGAAGGAATGGTCGAGAAAGCTTGCCCTTTTGTCTCAACCCAAAGTGCGGCTGGAACGCTTCAATCGGACAAGGGGTTCATGGCCAGTGGTCGACAAACTACACGTACTTACAAAAAAGGACCGCAATTGGTTCCCATTGACCCGCTCAACCTTCATGATCTGGTAGGATGCTAGAAGACCCTGCTGTCACACCGGCAAGAAACCCAAATAATAGTCCCATATATAATCCCCTATACATCCCTATACCACCCCCTTTAAGGTGTTGGTCTTCCTTCTGCACATTCGCACTTTGCCCTCTCCAGGTTCCGGTCTCCCTTCTTTGTAAGTTTGCAGTCAGCCAGCCCATAACTCGCAGAATGCACAAGGCTAAGGAAAGGCAGGTCATCCAGGTCTGTCCTCCTTGTACTCCCACCACCAGTGCCTCCTCTTCCACCGCACCTGAAGCTTGGGCATCAGCTAGCTCGATGGGCCGCTGCTTTGGTAGCATAGCGCCAGCATCGGAACACCTTGTCGGCAGAAACAGGGCATGGCCAAGGGTGGACTTTTTTTCTATGTGGTGTCCGGGTTCAGATTGTGGAGCCTCCCGAGGCGCCTGCCGTGGGTATTCAGATGTTGAAATTTCATCTGGGGGATGTAGAGCCACAAGCATTCAAACCTCTACTTCATGCACCCGAAACGGCGTTGACAGACCCGAACTCCAGAGGCCGTCCAGGATGGCGCAGAAGCTTCCCACACGAACCCAATACGATGTCACTGCACCTGACCTGAACCCAAAGAAACCCATTGCACGCACTCAAAGCCTGGACCTCAGGGCTAATCTTGATTTTGCTTTCTGGAAGCCCTTGATACCATTGGGATTGGGCCTGGTTCAGCCTCCTCCTCGCCTGTCGCAGCAGGAAGGCCCGCACAAAAGCCAGGAAGCGCTCCTTGCTTCGCAGATGCTTCATAGGAGATATTAAAGGTACTGTCTGGACAAGACGTGCTCTTATTGTTAGTTCTGCCATTCTGCTCATCAGTCACACCCTGAACGAAGGTTGTGAGCTTGGGTTGCAAGCTCGGCTTTGCACGCAAGAGAGTAAGAGAGAGCATGACTGCATGAATATCGCTTTCAGCATGGCTTTTCCTCTACTGGGTTTTCCTCTACTGGGAGGTTCAAGGGACGAAGTGAGCAGAATCCCCTATAAGTCATCTAATATGAAGCAGTCCTCCCTACTCAATCCCCATGACCCTCCAAGTAATGGGGCCTACAAGATGGCTTCAGAGCCGACAACTCGAGGACATCAAGCCCACTGTGCTCAACGTTCCAGATTCGGCCGTTGTATACTGACCCCAGCTTTTTTTGCAATTTACCGCAATGGGAACAATAGATACTGGTGGGGGGACAGAGGTAGTATTAATCAGAGGGAAGGATTGCTATAGAACCCCAGTTTCCATCTTCTGTTGTATTTGATGCTCCATTGTTGGGGTAGTATCTTTGACCATGTATCTTCATGACATCTATATCTATATCTGTCTATAGAAATATAGTATATCTACTTAGCTGTCTTTAGGACCCACCCTAAAAGTTAAACTTTTAGCCTCCTTAATATAGAAAGTAGGAAGCCCAAAAAGTTAAAGTCCTAACAGCCAGGCAGAAGACAGCCAAGTCTATATATATATATACATGTATGTTCGGAGTCTGAGTTTCAACACAGGGTGGGTGGTGCGAAACTTGGACTTGCCTCGCATGTCGCGCGAATGTACTAATATGGGAACCTAAAAGGAAATCTAATTTAACGGAGATTCTCTCAAACAACTTCTTCCTGGGAGCTCTTTGTGCTAGCGACTTCATGCTGCGATTCGAACATTTGAATATCGCATAACTCTTCCCCACCATCCTAGCCCTCCTCCCAGGAAAACAGAGATGTAACAGGCAGTGAACCCCCGCTACAGGACACTCCTGGCTCTTCTTCTGCTGCATCTGCTCGCAGTCGCGGCTTAGCACCTTGTACTTTCAGGATCAAAAGCTAAGGTTGTGCTTGCGCCTGGCGTTGAGGAACTTTGTGGCGTTGTCAGTTGAGAGCCCCATGCTGTGCGGAAATTGGAACGCGCCAGGCTCATTGAAAGGGTGCAGTCTTGATTGGCCAGCAACCCCCTCAAAGCTCTGCAGATAGGAAAGTCAAAAAGAGCTTCCACTGCCGGATCGCAACTGCTGCCCATCCAGCATTTCTCCCACATTGTCGGTTCTGATGTACCAATAGCGTACTATCTTGGCCGCAGCACATGCCCGCACACCAGCACGCACCTGTGAGACGCGAAGCCAGCGGGCAGATGCCAGCGCAACGACGACCTTTCAAGGATGCTAGGCTTTTGCACTGTGGCATCTAGCCTTTTTGCATGCTTGGAGCCTTTCTCCTAAGAGCTGAAAGGCAAACCCCACTCCCAGAAAAAGGATGGAGAGAATTCCTGTGCAGCCGCGTTTCCGTGTGGGAATTCCCTCTGACAATCCAACATTAGGCTCCTTCTGCCATCACAGAGCTGCTCTGGAAGAGCTCCAGACGTGGCAGTTTCCAGAAGCAAGGGCACCCCAATATAGACCCCAACGTACTCTGATCCTGATTCGTTGTCATTATAAGAAGGACTCCAAGAATGGTACCCTCTAATTTTGGAAAACCCCTTAACAAGCCTTGGGCAAGTCTCACTTCCCCTGGCCTCTTTCCTCCGCATTTCGCGCTTCTCCTCACTGGCGGATCGCCTGAAAGCCCAGCTGCGCGTGGATGGCAAACAGACTGTGAAACATGGTCAACCAGCTCAACTGCATCAGCTACTGACTACTTGGCACTAGCGTCTAAGGTAAGGTTCGGGGTTTCGGGAACAAGGATTTGCAAGGTACCCTATTCACCTTCAATCTGTGGAGCCCTTGTTTACCTAATGTGCATCCAGAAAGCCCTATAAACCCAAACCCAATTAGGGGTCCATACTTACGATGCATTGTATAGCGGCGGTCTCCAGACTGCTGCATAGGCATAGGCATTAAGCGGACAGTACACTGTTTGCGTACTTCGGCATTGTTGCTGTTACGGATCCCTAGCCAGGAGCGCACACCTGTTTTTGAGCATTCTTGAACGTGCGGAGAATGTTTTGCAGAAACGCATGAAGAATTTGAAATCCGACGTCATCCTACCAGCACTGTAACATCGGTGCTTGAAACCAAGTTAAACCCTACATAAGACGATGACTTCTGACACTGCATCAGCAAGACAGAGCCTCCAAGAGAGCCAGCTCCGGCGCAGCCTCTGCTCTTTCCAGCGGCGTTGCAAGAGTGCCTGGCATGCTACGCAAGCCTGGAGGGGGTGACCTTTGGGGACATTTCAGCTCAGGTGTGCTTACGATCAAATAAGGGAGGGCTTGCAAGTGCACAGTCTGGCTGACGAAGATCCTCGTGTTATGGACTGCTTATGACTGCTTGAGAAATCCCGCTGCACCCCATCAAGCCATGGGGTGTGCGAAATTGTCGGTCTCTCTCATGGGATTCCTACGGTAGGGGATGTAGATTTCATGACTTAGATGAAGATCTTGTGAACTTTGGTACCTCCATTTCTCCCACCATCCGGCCATTCTACTCACGAAATCTCAATGTTCTGAAGGCAGGTTTGAGGGCGGTTTCTTGCAATCTCTTAGATCTAATCGGCATAAAGACTGGCAGGTGGCATCTTTGGCAAAGCTCCTCTTTTCATATCCTGAAGCAACATATCTGCGGCGCAGCAGGTCCTTTGAATTCAGGTTATTAAGTAATTCGGTGACCACTTCTCAAAATGGCAGAACCTGTGTTGAGCACTTGCAATGTGGACTGAACTGTCTCAGTGGTTCATGGAGGGGACGCTGATTTTGAGAACCCGTCAATAACGCATCCTCTTTCCTGGACACGCTGTTAGGATCAACTTGAGCATTGTAACTATAACAGGATCCAAGCCATGTGGAAGGTCAAAAGTCGAAGAGCCACAGGGATCCACAACAGCGAGCCAGAAAGTCCGAAACTGGGGGACCATTCCTTGCACCTGAAGAAAAAAACAGGTACCAAGTTAAGTCCCCCATTTTGGGAAAGATAGGCCGTCGAGCTCACTCAACTAGAAGTGAATGCTGTCGATCATCGGCAAGCTGAAACCTGCAGGCTTCTTCGGGCGCTGCGGCAAAGAAGAGGAAGGGGAATTCTCTGAAATTCCGATTTGTCAGAGGAACCAGCTCCTACGCATAAAGACAGGTGCGGGAGAAGCTTTGATGAGTGTTATAGGCGGGCATGCTAATGCATCAGTCCCAGAAGCAGCATCAGGTTCTTCATGATGCTTTGGAGGTCCTGAGGCAGTCTGATTGCTCATTTTGTGAGCTCAATTAAGTCAAGACAAGCTTGGGCTGCTTCCAAAGAAACTCAAAGTATCTCCAAATTCCCTCAATCAGCATTGGAAGCGTTCATTCCTTATCAGCCCTGCAAGGATATTCATCCTGAACGAAATGAGCGCTGAGGTCCTCGGGCATTTTATCCCAAGAGGAGCGAGAAAGAGCCCAGATCTCTGCGTAGCCAGACATGCGGGAGGAGACCTCACTAGGGTGATTTGACTAGAACTCATTTAGCAACTTGTAGGGCGTGTAGTGATTACGGCGGGGATCATTGTAGGGGATAGTGGCCTGAGAGATTGGTTTGGGGACGCAGTATGCTCAAATTGTACAGCGGGTAAGATGGAACAGCATTCCAGAATTTGGTTTGCTTTGCGAATCAGAATGTAGTCATCATCGTATCCTGCAGGCAAGAGATATACTGGAAATATTGCTGCAACATGACATGCATTAGTACTGGCCTAACCGCAATTAAAGGCCATAGCAATGATCATGCGGCGCTGTTCGTGTTGCTGGTATCATGAACACAAAGGTAGCTAGTGGAGCAACACCTGCGGTCTTGGTAATCAAAAAAGACGGTTGCATGCCAGCAGCGTGGTCCCTTGAATGGAAGAGCCCCGCTCAAGAATCCTCATCCCACACTCTTGTTCCAGTTTTCGGTGGCTCTTGTTAGCTTGACAGAGTGCGCATAGCAAGAACATTGAAAGAATAGAGGCTCCAAATCAAAGGTCAGGATACCTCAGAACGAACTGAGTAGAACCTGGAAGTCAGGATTCAGGGATTTATGCAGGCATTGTTTGTAGCATCACGGAGGACGAACCAAACGCCAAGCTTACAGTTTATGGGAAGTCAAGAGACTTGCAGCATGGGAAGGATCTTGTGATCCACGAGGCCTTCCTAGCAGAGCAGTGAGACTGGGAACTTGGGAGATTACACACAGAAGCATTTGGTAGTTGCCCACAACAGGGGGGAACCCCAATACAAACCCCAAAATAGTATAGTCGTGATTATAGAAACTCATTAAAAAAGAGGAGCCGTAATTTTGGGGAACCTGCATTTAGTTTTCCAGTTTTTGGAGGTGAGAGTGGTTGCGCTGGATTGCTACCAATAATGCCTAGTAATAGTCATAATAGAAATATTAGGAATAGCCATAATACCTGCTACTTTCAAGGCCCGGTGCAACGTAATCGCAAAATTGTCATGACGACATGAAGAATGGAACATGTGTTAGACATGGTTCTTTCCCTAAGGTCATACGTTCTGTCTCATCGGGGCCCCCAAAAAGGGAGCACTACATTGTGGATACCCCACTATCTGATATCCCCTACAGGTGTGTCCCGTCACATGCACTGAGACTCCTCCCCGTTCAGGAAGAAGGAGGTCTTGCCCACGATGTGGCCCGGGGGGAAACGGGCCCTGAGGCGCTTGTTGCCTCCTCTGCCCGTGAAGCCTTTCCTTGGTGTCGATTCAGAAACTCAACACAGCCTAAGTAGCAGGCCATCAGGTGTACGGGCATTCAGAACAGATACGAGTGAGAAAGTCATTACGATTCATTCCGTTCGCTTGTCAAGAAAGACTTCACTTGGCTTAACGTGCCTTCAGGCATCCACATGTCCAGCGCGCATGATAGCCACAATAATCAGAATGCAGCATAGAGCATGGATTCAAAATACTTGGGTATTATTTTGCGGTCAGACTGTGATTGCCAGCAATAGCCAGGCTTCACCTGCGCGTGGAGTTTGCCGCTTCTTGCCACAGTGATGTCCTCCCCGATCTGCTCAAACTGCGCCACGGCCCCTCTAAATACCAGATACAGGGTGGGCTCTTGGTCGTGTGGAAGGTCCGTGTAGTGTGGAAGGCCATTCCTGGGTCAGCGGCGCTTGATGTCAAAGGAACCATGAAACGAGTACTTGCGCAGTTGCAAACAACTCACAGAGGACGAAGACAGAATGCTAAGCTCAAATCGCCTCTCCACCACAGCAACCTACGATAAACGTCAGCTGTAAGCAAGCTTTCTTACACTCCCAGTCTATCTCATCATCACCCCGTCTCCCCTAAAGCTCCAAAACTTCCAAGCGGGGCTCTTCACGTTGCACAGTGGCCGGACCCTCTCCAGGGTGCCCGGAGGGACGAAGTTCATTTCTTCAAAGTGCGCTTCGGAGAGTCGACTGCCTGAAGCCACACCAAGCACGGAATTATGGCCGGTGGGTCATGACGATTTTGGCTTCATGGGCTTTGGGGCGGGGTTCTGTACAAATTCGAATCAGAACCTCCGCCAGAGGCCTAGGGCCTAGAATTTGCAGACTTCACGCGGTGAGCTCCGACATTTCAAATTGGCCATCGTTCAAACATCATGGGGTCTATCAAATACCCCCAAAAAACGTGAGGAACAAAAACTTCGCAATTCTGGGAAAGCCCCACCTACCAGAACACACATCATCAGAGGTTGCTGCCTGCCACAACTTTCAAACTAACAGGCGGCGTCCCAACAACATCGTTCTTGAACTAAGCTCTTGCCCTGGTACCCGTTGCAATCAAAGAGTGTCCCACAACATCCCACAATCCTTTATAGTTGGCAGGGCCAACCGGTCAGAGTCAGCCTCGACAGGATCTGGGCATAAGACTGTGGAAGAATGGTAACCCACACGCATGAATGAAGCGGGTCTATCGAGATCCCGCATGAACAAGTCGCAATTGGTTGCGGGGACTGTTCACGAATGCGCGCCGCTCTCTCCCACTCAGCCCCCGATTATCCTACACAGAGCCCCAGAGAACCGCCTTCTCGGCAAGCTTGTCTATACGCCTGCTTGAACTCCTTGACCTCGCCATTGTAGCAGTACCTGAGATTTTCTCAAGTTCCGGCTCCTCTTCGACTGCTGCGCTAAAGACACCTGCAATTAGATGACAAAGGTCCCAGAACTTTGGCCTTGTTTGGTCTGGTCTCGCGAGAAGGGATCACACAGTACTCTGAACGCGCATGCTGTGACTTGAAGCTGAAATCCCACTCAGCGTGCTGTCAGACCATTGCGACGAAGCACTCTTCAAGCAAGAGGTCGTTGCAGTAGTCCTCAGAGACATGTGGCAACTTCAATGCTGCACGAACTACTCTGGTTTTTCACACAGCCCCACAAGGCTCGTTTAGCTAAAGTTAAAGGGCGTGTACTGTTAGAATCCTACACCTTCGAAATGAAAAACATCGTGACATGCGGTAGGTAAACAGACAAGAGAGCCAAGCATCTGCAGAGCCCTGACATGTGTAAGATCAAACCAAGAAAGCTAGGTCGCAGAGCTTTTTTCTAGGGTATTAGTTTCGTTCTGTGATTGCATGGAAACTGAAAAGGAGGCAGGGAATGTAGATGACATACATTGATGCTAGATGCAACGAGCTTTCATGTCAGATGCAACAAGCTCTGATGAAAAATATTGGCTCTAACAACGGAGGTGCCAATTGGAACAACTATCTTCAGCAAGCAGAACCCCAGACATCCGAAATGCCTGGAGCTTCAAGTCATGATGCTAGCGCTCCTGCCAACAGTCTATACATCCTGGGCCCAAAGCCCACGTGCCTCTCAACCAGGCCAGCAATGGTGGCTCTCGAACATATGATTCCCCCACCCAGCTTTTTGTCACCTACATCCCCATATCCTAAACCAACGCCAAGGGGCCAGAGCATCGGACTCAGTGTCAAAGGCATCGTAGGTGCCAGTGCCAAGGGGGCGGAAATTGCAGGTGGCCCTTCGGTGCGGCGTCAGCGAGCTTTTCCTGAGCATAGCTTACGAGATCTTACAAGAGAATTCAGGTGCTATGTCGTCCTGCTGTGAGGACCCAAACTCAAGACATCTCTGAATTCTTTTCCTACACCGCGCAAGTGCCGTGCCCAAACCTTCCAAATAATGCAGTATGTAGTTCCCATCTTCTTTGCTGAACCCACAAGGTCCAATGGAACATTTACACCTCATAAACTCTAAACCGAACTGACAAAAACAGCCGAAGGTTCCGTCCGGTGGTCCCGGCGGACTCGGCATGTACAAGGTCCGGATCCTCCTCTCTGCCACTGCTGGGGTGAGTGGTCTAGGGAGGTTAAAATAAGAAGAATTTCCACAGAATTGGCACTGGGACTTATGCTAAATGTAGAGCCCTAGCAAACTGGATCTGCCAACAATAGCACCTGCAGAGACCCTGAGCCTACTTTTATGGGGCTGTGCAAGCGCGCGGTCCTCGAAGATATCTGCCACTATAGGCTCCTGAGGGCTTCTGAAGTTGCATGCGTTTTGGGGATCAGAGGATTCCAGGGGTCCGTTTCAACTTCAGGGCTTTGAGAATCTCTCTCCTCGCCAATGTCGATTCCGCGGTCCAGCAGAACCTGTCAGGCTGCTTAGCCCTGGGGCTGAACCCTGAACCCTAAACCCTAAACATATTCCCTTATTCCCTGCTACCCCCCAGCATAGTGTACGTAAGAGTCCATGCTTAGTTGGGTTTCGTGTCCTGGTCTTCGAACCACCTTGCCCGGAGTGGAAACATCCCCTACGCAGGACCAAAAACAAATGCCCGACCCTTGAAACATCTGTGATGACTGGAACCCAACCCAAACCGGCCTAAGTCATTATGTTAAGAAGCAACCAACATGACACGAGGTATAATCACCATAAAAGCTTCCTGCAATCATATGAGGAGTCTGAGAAATTACAAACAATAGGTTTCCCACAATAATTATGTCACTTAAGCACGCCTCCTTTCCATGTGCAGTTCGTTACATGCATAACATGCAAAAAAGGATGCGTATGGCGGGGTATACGCTGGCCAGGCCTGATACAGCCCTGAACCCCTGAACCGAAAGCTTTGAACCCAAACCCGAAGACCAAAGTGCCAACACCCAAAGTCTCAAACTCTGAACCCCCCAACTTACACCTTAACCTGCAAGCATGCCTTGCGCAGCGCAGGGTCCGGCGACTTGATAGCACCCGCCACCTTACTGCTGCTTCAGAGGAGTGGGAGAGGGAATGTAGGGACGAGCGGTATTCTGAGCGGTTGGGCAAGGATTATCACGGGGACGCAGTCATCCTAAACACCAGTAAGCCACGGAAAGCTCCTGGAAGACGTCCGAGGACATGCGGCAGAAAATGACCATGACGCCACTTCGGAAGGCCTTCTTTAGCTAGGGGATTTTTCAGGCTGAAAGGTTGGAACCTTCGGGGCCCAACAGCTTCACGCTTGCAGGCTTTGATTTTGGGTTGCGCTTGTCATGTCCGGTCTAAGCCAAGGAAGTCCTGCTGGTGGCAAGTCCGCATGCTGAGGTCTCCAATGGTCTCTGAAACCCATTTCGGGAGTGTGAAGGTGCTGGACAAATCTGTTTATCTGCCAACCACCAACGTGGAGATCCCAGATATGAGCTGCGAAACCAGATCTCTTATCCTCAGATAATCTTATATGCCATCCAACAGTGGAATCACAGCTTGCTAGGAGCGCGCAAGAAACGAGGATGACCGGCATAAGCTGCTTACCTTTGTTGGGACTCCTCTAGCCAGGGTCCTGCTAGTAGCTACGTGAACCAAGAAGGAATGCTAGCAGGAGTGGTCATCAACGAAGTAACAGCTTCCACAGGAACAGATTGGTTGCCATGATGGTTGCTGTACCTCATACCAATGACATATAACATCAACAAATTACGGGGGCCTTGTCAACATTCATTTTGACCTGCTTCGCGGCCGATGCATCGATGTCAATCACGCGGGCGAAGCTGAGCACACAGTACCTGAGTTCCCAAGACAGTCATTGTTGCTTGTCTTTTCACCAGCAACTTCAGCGCCGGCGCCAGTGCAGCACCACCTACTGACCCTGCAGAACTGCTAGGACTGGCACTTTTGCCTAGCTCGACTGAAACAAACCTTCTAGGTTCCTCTCCTCAGGGCAAAATCGAAACATGCTTCCTCTTCTGGGGATCCCAGATTCTTCAGCCGACCAGCAGCATCGTCAGTGGCAGTGTCCAGAACTTGTGAAACCTGTTCTGCAGATCCAAAAAAGAGCTGCCCTTGCAGAAAGAGCAAGATGATTCGGTCGCCCTCCTTTCTCAAGGTGCGAAGTTCCCAAACCTGGCTTTGGACTCAGCAGGTACAGAAAAATATCCTATGTGGGACTCAGGCTCCTGTTGTAACTCATAACCATGACAAACGGGTCCCAAATCCAGTCGGGCGGCAGGGCGCTTCGTGCGACTCATACTAAGGTGTCCGGAGCTGACACCGCTCACAGGGACAGTCTGGGAGCTTTGAAACAGGAAGTCAAAGACACTCAGCGCAAGGCCAGTGAAGATGCCTGCAAAGGGGGACCACACCTTAGCTTCTCCAAAGCAAAGAAGCAAGCAGAATCGCACGAAATACGACGACTAACTCTCAAAAAGAAGCCGCAAAGGCACACAGCCCTTCTTCAAAACAAGATCCCAGACACCACAGCAACCGCAATGCAGGCGAGCGTGATGCCGTACTCAAGAGATGGCAATCGCACCCCTAACACAGTCCACTTGGAGCTTGGCAGATGCCGATAAGAGTACAATGCGTCCTGAACGAGGCTGATGGAGCTGTTCATGAACCTGGAAGTCCGTTATTCTAGACATGCAACCATATTGGATTCAATTCCAAACTCATAAGAAATTGAAGCCTTTTCACAAGAGCACCCAGGGAACAGCGCCCCCAAGAACCATGTGGGGATCAGATATCCAATTGGCACGCCGGACAGGAAGAGGCCGCCGCCTAAAAGAGCGCAGACGAGTAGCTCCACTATGCTGGAAGCACCCTGGGGCCACTATGGGTGGCACAGGGATCATGCATCACGCGAATCATTTCCGTCAGAGTTAACATCTTTCACCGCCTATTCCTCCTGACCATGAGGGAGTACCCATTTGCAGACACTCTGGCAACCCTCAAACCAAAGCTGGAAAATCCTGAAGCCCTTGCTCTAATCTCTTAAGCCTAAATTGATCCCTACGACACGAAAGTGGGTCAAACTTTTCAGTTTTGCAAACCACGAACAGTTCACAGGCAAATTCCCACCGAGGTCAAAAAGCATGCGCAGTGTTGGAGTGGTCCCGGCCCAAACTTCAATACGCAAGGGTCAAACTGTTCAAGGCAAAAGGGGACAAACTTGCCAGCATTACAAACAGCGAGCAATCCACAGACAAACTCCAACGGGCGTTGTTGAGGTGCTCCCGGCCAAACTGCAACACGAAAAGGGGTACATGCTTTTGATCCGTGGGCCCTAGCCCTAACCACACTATGCTAACTCCTGAAACCCTAAACCCCAAATATAAACCCCAATATACAATAGTAGTTTCCATTTTCTTTTCCATTATACCCAATATAAGCCCCAATATAAACCCCAATATACTATGGTAGTTTCCATTTTCTTTTCCATTATCCCTAAACCCATCATGCTACCAAAGCCGGAGTGCAGAAGACAGCGCAGGTGAAGACGGAGATGCGGTGGCTCCCGCCATCCAGCCGGAGTTGCACAGAGCTGCCTACAACAGTATAGTAAATCAAGGCTCTAAGTACCCTAAACCTTGGACAGTATGGCAATGTGGCATCAATACTCAAAAGCCTTGGGAATCATGGGATTAAGGTTTCGGTTCTTGGCGTGGGTTCGGGGTCTTGGCTCCAGGGTCACCGGAGTCAAGGTTTCAGGGTGTTGAAGTTGGGTGCGCTTTTAAAGTATACTGGGGATATAGAGATAATGGAAAACAAAACGGAAACTACTATTTAGGGTTTAGGGTTTATAGGGTTTAGGTTAAAGGCTGAAGGGGGTGATGTTATGGTTGAGGCTACTTGCATTAGGCCTCAGGAGATGAATAGTAAGAAGGGAGGATATCAGAGGAATCACAATCGTCTCAAGAGTATTGATCGAGATGTGCACGGCAATGTGGACAGCGAATGTTCTAGAAATGGCAAGTATATGGAAATCATACTGACCCATCCCATTTAGGCTTGTTCTCAAGGCCCTTCTAAATGAAGGACCATTGGGAATACAATTCCCATAGAGAAGATCTTAATCAAACAAGACGCCTATCTTACGGCCATGTTGAGCACAAGTCATTTGAACAACTACCATGTATGATCCTATCATCATGGTCACAAAACGAAGAAAAGTCGTCCTCGCTGCAGCATGAGCCAGGGCGGGAGACACACAGGCACGACTAAAAGGACAAATACAGGAGTTGTCGCGCAGTGATCCCCCCCTACCATAGCCGTATGGCTACTGAACCTTCGCCAAAAGCCAGGAAGCTCGATTGGGAGAACTTGACCTACCGTAATTGCAAGGATCACCAAGGTTACAGCAAGACACTGGACATTTTCCACACAATCTAGCATTGCATATCATCCTGACACAGCTTTTCTAACTCAACTGTTGCCTAATCGATGGAAGGTGACAATGCCCCCGCATGCGCCCAGAAGAAGATCCTCGGAACACTGGGCACTCGGCCTCTGGGCTTGCCTTTCTTTTCCGGGGGGGTCTGAGGGAGCAGGTTCGGTGCATGCTCTTTGTAGTGGGCTGCTGCTTGAACTTGCCCATTCAGGTTCTGCTTCTGCCTGCATGCTCCACATGGAACGTCAGAAACCTGGCACATAAGTCACGTGAGTGCTCGTCGTTCTTGCAGGTGAGCTATAGTCTTACCTCCTAGCATCCCTCTTACTAACCCCCATGATATTCCCCTATATAACCCTCTTTAAGGAGTTTTCACTGTAGCTCATGTGGGGCATTTGCACACGAATGCACCTTCACATTATCCAAAATCTGTGCGATTGCGGCTCTCGCACAGGCCACACAAGTGAGAACTCTGCACGAGAACGCCCACGTGCCTTCTTCCATTGTATATATATATATACATATATGTATGTATATCTAGATATAGATATGCATATATAGATATATATATATATAATCTGCATATACCGCTGTTTTCGGACTGCGTTACATGGTGAGGCCTCCATCTTAGTATGTCGGTTGATAAGCGCTGTTGCCAGCCAGTCATGTCACGTGCTGAATACTCCCTAGCCCAGGCACTACCCAGCCGACTGTTAGCAGCTCGCGGTCGTAGTCCAGTGCCTTGCGGACAGCAGAATCTTGAAAAGCCTTTTGACAACCTGTTGCATGCTGTCCATGCTACGAGCAGGTGAGACGAGGATGTCTCAAAACAGTGCCCCCCATGCACCCTCAACGTCAAGATGACTTGAGAACCCCAGAAAGGGATCCGCGATTTCGGTGTCGAGCGTAACTATCATCGTGTCAGCTGTGAAGGTTCGGCCATGGTTCCTCCATGCTCGAAGTAACCCGGGAATGAGGCTTCCTGCACGTGAGCCCCAGTCTAGGAACTAGTAACCCTCAGCATCGCTCAACAGTAGGCCTCAGGCTCCGAAGAACAAGCCGGGTTGCATCGTTGGGTGCAGGATCCCCAGGCGGGCCCGTAGGGAACCTCGGAGCATAGTTCCTTTCAAAGGTGAGGTGATCTTCTGTGTATCAGGTGTCAAGAACTGGCTAGCTGTCTCTGGGTGCATGATCCGGAGCTTATGTACCCTGAGAATTTCAGGTCGTTCTCTGCTTCTACAATATGGAGGTGTGTGTGTGTGACTGCCGGTGACATCTCGAGCAAGGTCAGTCAACCACCTCATACCGCCTCGATTGTACCTGGGCCTCACTACCAACAACTTCTATCTACCAAATCCTGGTCGGGAGCTCACGACAAATCATCTTTCCTATTCATTCAGGCACTTTTGGCTTTGTAGTCCACAGCGCATCTACAACTTCAAGCATGTTTTTGTACAAGCCTGCTTTCTCCGAACCATTTGCTCCACTCGCTGTATGCAGTGCTGGAAAATTCACCCCAAACGCAACGCGGCCTAAGTTCGAAACATTTCGGACAGCAAGAGTTCTGCGAAGCGGCTTGCCGACGATGCCTAGCGCCCCAGTCATCGTGCAGAGCACAGACATCATCACAATCAGGCCCATGGAAGGAAGGTTGGCTCGGACCTTGCAATTACTACAATAGGGTATACATTGGGTATCTATTCGGGTTGTATTGGGATTATGCTACTATAGAATAATAGGGAATGGCTGCTTTAGATCCTTCCTGGCTTTGCCTTACCGAGACACAAATGTCCAGTCGGCGCCCGAAAGGCTGCCAGAGCGCCAGAATTCAGCTGGCCCGGAGGCTCCCTGACAACAAGCATAGGGGTTTAAGGCTTTATAGGGATTATATAGGTGTTATATTGGGATAATGGAAAAGAAAATGGAAACTACTATTTAGGGTTTAAATGGTTAGGGTTGAAATGGGGGTTCCTGGTGAAGGCAGGTTCCTGACGTAACCGACTTCAGTACCGACCTTAGCGTGCTACTCAATCGGCGACAGCATGATTGGCAGATATCGAGGCTACCCTGGTGTGAATCGGGCGGCAAAGAAGAGAGCGGCCAAATGTTCAGTTGCAATGACACTGTGCTGACTTAATGGTTTCAACTGGCAAGTATTTTCAAATTCCTACCGCGCGCGTGCTCGAACCTGAAGATGGTCCAGGGGCTGGTATAATGCTGGTATAACGTGTCCTTTGGTTGGCTCTCCTATTGGTGCTCTTCATCTTCTTCCTCCTCCCTGCTAGTGGGTACAAGCCGCAGGGGAAACTCTCACAGCTTCTCGGTGTTGAAACATGCACGGCATCTGCGCACTGCGATCCCAACATCAGACTCTCATATCTGAAAGGCTTTTGAACTCAAATGGCCTGGGCCAGAGGGTGCCCATGGGGACCATGAATCCGGAGCTGTAAGCCTCTTTATATTCTTGATAGCCTTGCTGTGGCACAAAGTTCCTCACTGAGCATCACAACCCCAGCGTCCTCCACCCTTCATGCAAACCCTCAGCCCGCCCTGTGCCTGACGCGGGTAGGTCCAACCCTCTTTTGAAAGCTCCGTCATGTCCACACCGGTAAGCCTGATGTGCACTTTAATATCCATGACTAGTCATGGGACTGTAATGGGGCTGAGCAGGTCCAACAGCTCCAAGCATGCGCACTTATCGACATTTTTGCGGGGGTGGAAAGGGCCTGAACAACATCACCAGTTGACCATACAATTTGGAGCCTCGAAGACATATGCGGTTGTGCTTCTTCCACAACTTAAGCCTTGCTTGATGGCACTGGGAGAAGCAAAGTGCAAGAAAGGGACCGCACCACCAGGTAGAAAAGGAAGAGCGGCACCAGCTGACAAACCAGCCCGCCAAGTTTCTTCACGGCGGTGCTCTTTGGGAAGAGTTTTACCTGGATTCAGAATCCTCCCGCACTGATCTCCCCACAAGGCAGAGGGGAAAAAGTTTCAGAAAAGGAGTGACCCCGACATGTAAGTACCATGGGTGAGATGCCCACAAGAACTCCACGCATTCCCTACATAGAGGGAAGCTGAAGTGACGGACCACCAATCTGACCAAGCTGCCAGCATGGGAGGCACCCGCCGGATGAACATCAGGGCAGCGAACATGCAGAGCACCCGTGCCAGTGGTTGGACTTGGAGGAACTCCCCGAAGTCCTGCGGCCAGAGGTAGCGGAATTTCACGCCGGAAGAGATCCTGCAGTTGCCAAGTCCACCATGCAGAATCGTGCAGCTTGGTCAAGTATATCTACTACGAGTAGCACCAGCATTTGATGAACGGGGGATGTCCGACAAAACTGATAAGAATGGCTAGCCAAGGGTCTGTAAAGAAGACTTGAAGATAAAGAAGCCGATAGAACCAAGAAATCCGCTGGTGACAGGGGCTGGGAAGAGCAACATCAGCTTGCCGAGACCCAGGTGCCTTGCGAGCACTGGAGTGTTTACAGTGACGGCGTGTCAGCACAATGATAGATGGCGCGGCCTCTACTTCACAGTCTGCGATTGCTACCCAAGAAGTGACCGAACATGAACTGGATTGGCATGTCCGCACACTGGTCTGAAACCTTTGGATGTAGAGAAGGCGCCCTTCTTGCAACTGAAGCTTTCTTGCTTCGCCTTCACAATCTACAAGGTAAGACGTGTGTCAGTTCGGTCCCAGATGCCCAAAGACTATCGAGGCCAGACCAGTCAGGATCGTACTCACGGCAATGATGGCCAGCTGCGTGGGCACAATCCTTCAGGCGATCAGCCGCTATAACATCTTGGGCCATTGGGGGTTCTCAACATTATGGGTACAACAGATTACTTAATTTCCTTTTTGATGTAGACGTGAAGTGGACAGATTGCGGCCCTAGACGTAGATGAGATGCGCACGCGAGACTTTGGGTCTCGTAGAAGGTCCTTGAAACAACTTCATGCAGTTAAGGGGGTGAAATGCAAACCCTACCTTCAAAACGGAACCCCCCTTGTATATGCACGCAGGTGGTTTCCACGTCATTTCCATGTTCTGGTCCATCTGATTCCCGATTCGTACCCTAAACCCTAGATGTGCTGCCTGTTCTGTATAAATACATACGTACATAGATACATAGATACATAGGTACATAGATACATAGATACATACATACATACATACAAACATACATACATACATACATACATGCATACATACATACATACACACACATACGTACATAGATACATAGATACATAGATACATAGATACATACATACATACATACATACCTACCTACGTACGTACGTACATACATACATACATACATACATATCGTACATACATACATGTAAACATACATACATACATACATACATACATATCGTACATACATACATACATACATACATGCACGCATGCAGGCATGCATGCAAGCTGCATAAATACATACATACATACATACATACAGAAATACATGCAGACATACACATCATACATACGTACATATCATACACACATACAGACAAACAAACATACATGCATGCATACATATATACATATCATACACACATACAGACAAACAAACATACATGCATGCATACATATATACATATCATACATGCATACATATCATAAATACATACAGACAAACATACATACATACATACATACATACACACATACATACATACATACAGACAGACAACAAACATACATGCATGCGTAAATACATAATTACATATCATACATGCATACATACATACATACATACATACATACAGACTAACAGAGATACATGCATGCATTAATGCATACATGCATACATGCATACATGCACACATGCATACATGCATACATGCATACATGCATACATGCATACATGCATACATGCAGACATGCATACATGCATACATGCATACATACATACATACACAGATACATACAGAGAATTTGAAGCGCAAGAGGCAAAGAGTCTAACCGTAAAAGCGGAGAATTTTTTGAAGAGCAAGAGGGAAAGAGTCTAATCGTAACAGCGGAGAATTCGAAGTGCAACAGGGAAGGAGTTTAACCGTAAAAGCGGAGAATTTTGAAGAGTTAGAGGGAAAGAATCTAATCGTAAAAGCGGAGAATTCGAAGTGCAACAGGGAAGGAGTCTAACCGTAACAGCGGAGAATTTGAAGGGTAAGGGGCAAAACAGTCTAACTGTAAAAGCCCAAATTTGAAGGGTAAGCGGTAAACAGTCTAACCCTCAGCGGAGAATTTGAAGTGCAAGAGGCACGCAGTTTCAGCATAACAGCGGATGAAGGTTGTCAGAGAACCTCTAGAATTTTTTCCAGAGAATCAAGTCCCAAAATCTCAAATCAAAACGGCTGTAAAAAGTCCCAAATCTCAAATCGCAAGTGTCCACCAAAGATTTTCGAGAATCATCTTCTCAAATCAAATCACAAGGTTTCCTCCCCTAAGATTTTTCCAGAGACATCTCCCATGTCTCAAATCGCAAGAAGTGTACCTCTAAGACTTTTCAAGATTTTTTGGAGAATCAAGTCTCCAAACCTCAAATCGCAAGGTGTTGCGCTAATATTTTTGTCCAGAGAATCATCATTGCTTTCATCTCAAGTCGCAATTCCTTGCAGCTCCCAGTTAAAGTCTCGGTTTCTTGTTGTTTTCTATTTCGGCTGGTGACAGCCTAGCATCTAAGATCAGAAAGCGCGAAAAGTATGGTCTTCGTATCAACTACCGCAGAACAAACGCTACCGAAAAATCCCACAAAGGTGACTCATAGGTACTCGAACAAGCATTCCGCACCAACTATATGTCTCAATTCAATGTTGGAGAAGGCACAAAGCATCGAGGCCATGGCAGTGGCATTCGATATGGCGGAGACTGAGAAGGCGACCTGTGGAGGTGGACGATTGGGCAGAAGAATGGGCGAGGAAATGGTGGTCAACGCTCCTGCCTGCATTGAGGGCGGTGAGAAGTTCAAACCCAAAGAGTGTATACAAGTGGAGGAGAGCCAAAACGCAATGGACAAGGACCCAGGAAAAGAAGAAAGGGAACTTAGGGAAGAAATGGAGCGAGCCAATGCTCTGGAAGTGAGGCCGGCCAGGGAGTTGGAAATATAACTACGAAGAGAGGAAATGTACGCGCTTGCGAGATGGAAGAGGGTGCAAGAGGCGGAGATCGCCGAAGCAGAGAAGCAGTGGGAAGAACGAGTCAAGCAGGGCATCGAGGACAGCGACAACCTCCACGGGTCTGACGCTGCGTCCTCGTCCAATGCCACCACAGTTCCAGTCACTGCTTCTGCTGCGCGCCTCTAAACTGGGTGAAGGTGACGGGCCAAAAGTGAAGAGGCGTCTGGTCACCAGACTCCAGGTGGATAGAGGCTTCTCTGCGGCGGCTGGCGGCTCTGGCGTGCTGCGGGTGGCGGACCTCGTTCCCGGCATCCCTGTGCATTTGAAACTGGCCGTGATGCTGCACGACGATGGTCAAGTGGCTATTAAGGTTTTGATGCAATGTGGAACGCCTCCGTGGCGGTCATGAGAACAGACGAGGCGAAGCGGAAGGCGACAATGTGCTGGGCTGTCGGGGCATGTTAGGCTGAATCGAGGGACAACTCAGTCTCAGCCAAATTGTGCAGAGACCACCAAAATCCAACAATCTTTGCCGACGTTATGGGTTCCCGCAGGGGTAAGATTTCAGGCACCACCTCCAGCCCAGGCACCACTCACAGAAATACATCTGCGTCAGATTAAAACGATGTCATACAATATTATAGGCCCAAATTATTCTTTCTTAATTTTTAACAATTTTTTTCAAATTATTCTTGCTTAAAATTCTTTCTTTTTTAAGGCGTAATTCTTCTTAAAATTATTGCGTAAATTAATTAAGGAATACAGGAATCACTGGGTATATGACTCTCAAGAACATCGTGTGGACGAGCAACAAAGCGCAGCTTCGCTGGATGACCGGCCTCACGACATGATTTCCGACTGCCGGAATGGGAAGATGATGAAGAATGTGACTCTCAAGACCATATGCATGAAGGAAGTGAGGACAGTCACTTGGAGATAGGCAGCCCTGAGGTTGCAGAAAGGGACCTTCAGCCACTGTCCATGCTTCGAAATGGGCATCCCCTTGAGCCACCGAGCGGAAGCGAAGCAGGGGAATTTAGAAGCCAGCAGAGCCAGCGCAGCCAGTGACTGCGGAAGACCTGCATGATGAGTCCTCCTCCTTGATGCAGTCTTTGGCCGAACCCGCGGAACAAGTGGCTGAGATCAGCGAATGGAGGAGACCGAGACCAGAGGCGACGCGAACCAGAACGCAAGCCCAGACCGAGGACAAGAAGTCCAGAAATCAAGAGAAAGCAAAAAGGCAAGGGTAAAGGGAAGAAAAGCCATTCGTGGTCAGTACGCAGATGGGAAGGGCAGGGTTGTTCGAGACTGGCAAAGAGCAGTAAAGTGGTTGACATCTCGGGCGATGCGGCTGGGGATGAAGCTCCTCTGTCACTTGAAGAGGGTCGGGTTCTTTGGCTGCAGCTCCTGGATTTCCGCACATGTCCAAAACCAGCGCAAAGTAGCCGCACCAGCGCCACGTCCGCTAGCTTGTTTCTGCCCGCTAAAGAATTTTCTTAGCCAAAGCAACTGGCGTCGAGCTTTTGCCAAATTAAGTTTCAGCGCGCTAAAATCCGGTTTCGACTTTGGGCCAGCTGGGAACCGTAATAGGTCTGCCATCAGCTGAAGTTGTTGAAGCAACAAAAATTCGTTTTGCGTGACTTTAACGTGTGGCCCCTTGCAGAGGTCCGTCTGCAGAACATGCTCACGTGCAAGCCTATGTCTGGGCAGATAAAGCGGCACCTGAAACCTTACGCGCCCATAGACCACCCCATACATAATAATCTATGTATTCCACATTCCAGATATGTGTGGAGACTATTGTTGCCCTGCACATGTTGGAACAACATCTAGAACATGGATGTAGAAATCCATGCCCCAACATTCAACACATTTGTGATTGACCCCGCGATATAGATGGATGTTGAGCAATAAAACCCATTAATCTCCATGAAACCTTAAACTCTGAACCCTAAAACAAAGAAAACGTGTTGCGCAATGTGCCTTTGTGCGAAAATCTGTTCATGCAAAAACCCCGCATGTGATCACAAACGTATACAGCTGCACGCTGCCAGGATTTCCTGCCATGCTGCTGAACGTACACATTTACTGCAAGCAAAGAAGATTGCCTGCGCATGTCTGGCCCAGAAAAAACCAAAACCCACTTGTGTGTCCATGAATTAACATGCCAAAAAATTACAAAACATACATGAAAGCTATACTATGAAAACATGAACCCCTAATGCAACGCACTTCTTCACCATTTTAGAACATTGAGGGACTACTTGGGGGCATGATGCGTCTGAATTTTGCGAAGGGGCTAGGGGAGGCTT